ATCTTTTAAAAGCCGAATCTCATAAACCCGATCCTGAATATTATTCCCCCCAAAACAAAACAAAAACTGAATCCTGAATATCATCAACCCATTTCTTTTGACGATGACTGATTGAATTTTGTTTCCATAGTTTCAACGTATTATTACAATTTGCAAGTGGTGTACTCACTTTGTTTGGTAACGAAGCAACGAGGAAAAGTAGAAAACGATGACGCGTAGACATGAGTTCACCATTACGCCGTCAAGGTAGACTTTTCTTATATATAAACAAACATCTTCTTCTCTTTCCATTATCCCAAAACCAATATCATCAAATCCACTCCAAAATATCACAAACAAATCGAATCTCCGACAATAGATTGAACTCGAATCTCCGAACAATCAGTTCCAAAACCATGGCTCAGAATCAACAACCAATTTTTCAGACCAAGCCACAAGGTAATAATCATAACTTAAACCAAAAATGATTATGTTCTTGATCTCAAATTTGATTTTTAGTTTCTCAATTTCCTCTCTCTCTTTTGCAGAACATCTTGTGCAGATCCCACTCAACATCGAGCGTGATTCAACCACACTCATAAACCAAATAGGAAACTCAAACCGGAAACCAAACCATTGGCCAACCATTATCCTCTCAATCATCTTCGTAATCACAGGTCAAACCATAGCAAAACTCCTCGAAAACTTCTACTACGACAAAATCAACCGAAGCGAGTACAACGAAAGCCGTCAAAACGACGGCGTTTGGACTCAATCTCTCCTCCAAACCGTTGGTTTCCCTCTCCTCCTCCTCCCTTTCATCATCCTCACCAAGAAACACAACCAACAACAACAACCTCCGATCACTTCCGATAATTATCATTACAAATCCTTAGCCATAATCTACATTTGCATCGGAATCATCATGTCGGTTCAAGGAAGACTCGCCGCCATGGGAAAACTCGATATCCCCTTTGGTATTTTCACTCTGATCTACACAACGCAGCTCTTCTTCACTCCGATTTTCGCAGCTTTCATCAACAAAATCAAATTCAACAGATGGGTCGTGATCTCTTTGATCTTAGCAATCGTCACCGGAGCTCTCACTCTCTCCTCCTCCTTCGGCGGCGAGCCAGACGAGGCGGAGGTGAATTACGCTAGTGGCTCATGGGCTGCTCTGTTCGCCGGAATCTGTTTCTCTCTCCTTCTCTGTAACATCCAAAACGTTTTCGACAATTACGTCTTCAAACGCACCGAATCAACCGTTAAAAAACCAAGCTTTGCCTCTGTTTTCGAAGTCTTGATCTTCTCTTCACTCGTCGCTACGATTATCTCCGTCGTGGGTTTGTTAATCGCCGGCGAGCAAGATGATTTGAAGAGGGAAATGAATGGTTTTTCAAAGGGGAAAGGTTCGTATGTTATGGCTATGGTGGGTCAAGCTGTTTCGTGGCAGGTCTATTGGGTTGGGATCGTGGGACTTGTCTTCTCTGTCTCGAGTGTGTTGTCGAATGTGATCAGTGTTATTACATGGCCGATTGTGTCGGTTCTTGTGGTGCTCTTCTTCAATTTCATGGACGATGAGATTGATGTCTTTAAAGGTATTGCCTTGATTACTGCTGTCTTAAGCGCTGCAGCTTATTTTTTTAGGGCATCTCGAACCCCATTCGAAATCCTACTCTAAAACCCTAAAATTATCTCCAACCCCACTCCAAAATGGAGTAAAAAATAGGTTTTTATCACTCTAATTTTTACTCCAAAATAGAATAGGGTTGGAACAAAACACAACTTAGAGTCTGTTTTGGGTTGGAAATGGTCTTAGGCTTCACAAAAGAATCGGAACAGTTTCGTGATGGCTAATTAAGAGTCTTGTGGGTAAATTAATCATTTATTTGTTTGTGTGTAAGTATTAAGTGTGTAACACCTTCGGTTCTAATGTAAATTTGTTTTTACTTTTTTAGTTTGTGTGTTTTACAATGAAATGTTTAGAAGTGTATGTATCTTTTTCATGAAATTTACCAATTCTCTTTGAATTTTATTGGCTTTAAACCCCCTTTAGCACTTATCGTTGGGTTTTTATTTTAGTCGAAAGTAGAATCAATGTATCTATGCGATGCTAACATTCAACGAATCATACATTAGTTAATTACTCTCAATCAAGCGATTTTCAATCATACATTATGTCAATCATCAAACCACCAAGACGCGACACAAATCTTATCAAGAATATAATTACAAATGCATTCTTGGAGTCCAGAAACACACCAGATGGCCAATGTGATCAATCAAGAAAATTTAGTGAAAATAACTTGAGTTACGCTCAAATTAGCAACACTAAAAAATCTATGGATCCATGAGGATGAGCAATCTATACATGGATCCATGAGAACTCACACTCAAAATTCTTGAAACAAGGTTAAAGAACTCAATATTCAATGTTCAATGTTCTTGAAAATATATCAAAAGAAATGGGAGACATAAATTTCGCAAATTTAGAACTCAATATTTAATGTTCTCCAATGTAAAACACTAATCATTTTCAGGCTAAATTAATATGTATTTTTTTGATAAAGCAGTTTTTACTAGAAATATGCTATTTTTTGTGCAGATGATACAAATATAAAATATCGTAGAAAATGAAAAGAATACTTTAGATAAACAAGTCTAAATATGAATCCATAAAAAACAAACATCTTAGAGATTAAAAAAAATAGAAACTGATAATTAAATAAAGTATTCAAGTTAAAAGATGATTACTGTTAGAGTTTTCTTCATCAAACATATTTTCTCTTAAATCGTTTAACAACTCTGTCACTAAGCCTTTCACGAGTTTCCTCATTACCTGAAACTTCTCTGGAGTATGAGGACTACCAGTCATATTCACAACTTCATAGAGTACACACGTTCATACTCCCAGTCATTCTCCACTACAAGAACAAGAGCAGCAAAAACCATAAGAGTGAGACAAAACCGACTTCTTTAAGCATTCAAGTTAAAAGAAGACTATGTTAGAGGTCATTCTCTCCTACAAGAACAAGAGCAGCAAAAAACCATAAGAGTGAAACAAACCCGACTTTAAAGCTTAAGCATTAAGTTAAAAGAGATATTACTATTAGATTTTTCTTCCTCCGACATATCATCATCTGCGGCATTGCTGGGCATAAACAATTGCCACTTAAATACAAATAAGAAAATAAAATAACTGACTAAGCAAGAAACGTGAATTGAGTGGGAATGTAATCCCAATAATTAATATAGGAGATACAACTTCTCTCCATCTTTGAAATAGTCTACGTTCGGTTTAGTTCGGTTATGCTCTTATCAGAAACGTAAATCTCGGACATGGCGATCTCGCACAAGGATTTTGCTTCAAAGCTACTTGGAGAAGACGAGAGTCGAGAGAGAGGGAAGTGTGAAAGAAATTGCAACCGCCTATTATATCGACTCAAAACTTTAATGGGCCCTTGTCATTTTTTGCCCAAATTCTTTTTTTTTTTTTCCAGAAATATAGTTTTTTGAGTTTTCTTAAATATATCGCAAATAATTTAACCACAAATATATTTTAGTCTCGCTTAAAAACCCCATCATATTATCATCCAATCTTATATTTCGTGTGAAAAATAGTAGAAATTACTCGCTGGGATTCAGATACTATTTTATTTCGAAAGTTAAAGAGCAATATAAATTAGGATAAATTATCCGTTTTGGTAAAAATATATTATGTCAACGGTAAGAAATATATTCTACACTTGCGTTAGCATGTTCTTTTTTGTGTTAAAATATTCTTTTTCCTTCGACCAAAAAAA